TAGCCTTCCCCACAGATTTTATTCATATGAGTAATTAGTAACAATAATAAAACAATAGGAATTATTTACAGAATGCCAATTATGCAATGGGGACTATGGTCAGCACTTCACAGACATCACAGCATAGTAATCCTTGCAGCCATCCTGTGAACTTGCTGTTAACCCCAATTTACAGAAAAACTGAGACTCAGTGAAGTTTTTTGCCCAGTGGTATATAACTTGTAAGAAAAGAAGCCAAAGCTCCAATTCATTCTGTCTGATTCCAAAGACCATACTCTAGGGACACAGTGCCCCAGACCCTCTTCCCATGATGGGCAAGGTGGCTGTGGGAATGGAAGCCTCATGCAACCCAGACCTGGCAGCATGGGACAAGATTAATACACATGCTCAGGATGGGTCATTCCAGGGCAGGACCTCAGTGCACACCCACAGCAGTTCAAACAGAATTTAACATTCAGCTTGAAAAACACTGATCTGATGGTGCCACCTACTGACCAACATGCTCTCACCAGCAGCAGACTCATGTGAGTACTTGGATCACATGGCTTTATGCTGTTTCATAAGAGTAAAATACCCCTCCTGTCGACTCCAACATCTGAAGATGCTGTCTAGCTGTGGAAATCAAATCAGCTCTTCTGATGTAATGGCATCTTCACAAATAGTGAACAGCAGTAACATCAACTGAATATTAACTTGAATACTAACTGAATATCTCTGTAATTGAAGTTTTGCAACTACAGTGGAGCTACATTTTTGTTAATACTGATGCTGCGGGGGGTGGAGGGTGGGAAGGGATAGACTGGGATTTCAAAATTGTAGAATAGATAAACAAGATTACACTGTATAGCACAAGGAAATATACACAAAATGTTATGATAAATCACAGAGAAAAAAACGTGACAATAAGTGTGTATATGTCCATGAGTGACTGAAAAATTGTGCTGAACACTGGAATTTGACACAACATTGTAAAATGATTATAAATCAATAAAAAATGTTAAAAAAAAATAATACTGATGCTGAAAATCTGAAATAATTCAATGCAAAAACTACCTCATTTTGTGCAAATTCAGAAATAATGTGAGTTGCCCAAATATTAAAAATTCATCAAGAAATACAATTTTAAAACCATACTTACTCCATTGCACATGAGTTGGCAAATAAAAATATCACCTAGCCCTCTATCATGTTGATTACCCTAGCATTTACCAACCTCGGCATTTCTACAAGTGATCAAGTATTTTTGTATCACATAATGATATCATCCCAGCCTTTAATAAGTGGTGGTAGCAAGGCTAGTGCTTAAAAAGCTGCCCTCAAGTCAATAATAACAAGACAAAGGTTAAATGTAATCAAAATCTTTTGAAAAAAGTCAGGGGACCTCCATGTCAAGTTATGCCATTCATTTAGACATTTAGACTAGAGGAATCTAAAAAATATTAGAGATAATGCTCAGAATTAAAAAGCATCATCAAAGTAAAAGCATGCTATCGTGACAGTAGATGTATGTATGCACTCTGAGAACCACATGCCTCTCTCCCTTTACATTTATTCCTATGAAAAAATATGCTTGAATTGAGTGTATGCATCTCTCTCCTAAACAGTATTCTTTATTTTCAAATGTGTCATATCAGAAAGAGAAATAACACAGAATTAAAGGAATATGCTTTAAGGTACATATCTACCACGTCCCTTCTTCTCCTACCTGTAAGGAAAGCAAGGCTCTAATAGCTTCCTAGGGTCCCTGGAAGGGGAGAAAGGAGCCCTGAAAGAGGCAGGAATCTCGAAAATTGGAGAAAATTCCTCCTTCCTAAAGGGAGCTACAAATAGCTATAAACCAAGAAGTAACCCCTATCCTCACTTCTAGGTGACTGGGCTTGGCCAATCCTAAAAATACAAAACACTCCTAAGCTAGACTTGGCCTGGGGACCCTCCTTCTCAGGAATAAGCCAATTCCTTACATTTTTTTTTTAAAACCATGGGCTGCCATCCATTAATTAATAGGTCATGAAAGAATTAAGTGGGCTATGACCAGCATTTTTAAAAAAGGAAACAGAATAGGATAAAGTAACAAAATGTCAGAGTAAAGCACACATTAGGATTATTATTTTCTGAAACTTGTTTCACATATGTTTTGGGTGGCAATGCAGATCTATTTTTACTGTGCATTGACAATCACTGCCTTGGATAACAACACTGCACTGACCGTTGCTAAGGAGGACACATTTCCTCCAATATTCCTCCCTCACAGGTCATCTTACCCAGAAGATTCATGAACCAACTATAACTGCTGACCAAGTTAAAAGAACCGTCTGACCTTAAAAAGAAAATCAAGGCACTACAACAAATTTCTATGTATCTAAGTAAAACAACTAATTATATTTTTCTTTCCTATGAGTGATAAATACTAGACACCTGCTGTTTCCATAGTGTACTCTGAGATCATTTTCAGAATTGAGTAGATTCTCAACATTAAACATCTTTAACCAGAATCATTAAATGAATATAAATTTGACTTACATTCCCTGGATTTCTTCTAATATCTAAATTTCTAACAATGGCATTATTAATTTTTAAAAGCAAAGGGAGATATGCATTTAAATTTAAGCTTGAAGGATATCAGGAAAGAATAAGATAAGCCAAGTCACAAATATCCAAAAAATGGAACTTAGCAGAAAGACTGTTGGTAAGTACACAAGACTCTTATAGGTGACCAAGAACCTAAAAGAAAGAAGGAGAAACATAGGTATTAGTGAAAACAAGTATGAATCACATTAATTTTAGTTCTAAATCCCCTTAAATAATAATAGTAATAATAATGATGCCCTCACATAACAGCATTCACTTACTGAGTGCTACGTGCCACTTTCCATGTGGTAACAGAGCGAACACCATCATCACCCCACTTTCCTTGTGAGAAAACCGAAGCACCACGACTCTCAAGTGAATGCTCTAGCTCTTTTTTTGAAGCTCCAATGGTGTCATAGTGAATATTCTAGTTCTTATAACTAACTCATACATTATTTCATTCCCAACAACTGTATATTTTCAATGAATCTTTTATTTATATTGAAACATCATACTTGTATTTCTTTTTGGGGAGCATATCGTATTTTCAAATACTCCAAAATGCAAAAGTTTAAAGACTTAGGAGATTCACCTTCACTTTTAACAAGCTTTGTTCTAGAGGCCAGAAGGATATTTTTGAAATACACTGATGCACACAACCTTGAGCACTTTCACCCCGTAATCAGCTGGAGAAGCAGACACTCAATATAAAAAGATACGTAAAGCCTAACGGTGACACAGTCATCAAACACCACCCATCTCACCTGGGTCACAAGCAACTTGGAAGCCCACATATAACTTACTCAAATGTTTAATGCCATAGTTTAAAAAGAAAAAAATATCTGCCTTTCACATTAAATACTCAATATAGCAAATCTATGCATGAATATAGTTTGCCTGGATCTATTTTAAAATTTATACCAGAAAAAAACAATGGTTGATGATGGATATGACAGGGTTTTTAAAAAGCTATCAAGACCATAAGCACAATTATGGTGAAATAGTATTTGAGAAAAACTAAAGACCTCGAACCTCAGGCACCCAATATGCCACCAGGATAGGCCACATGGAGCCCACGTGACCTCCACAGCATGGCCTGTCTGAGATTGTGCAGCAAAATGTGTTTGACCTAATTAAGTGGTGCAGTGAACTACCTGGTTGGTAAAAGCCTGCTACTATGGCCTGTCTACCTCTGATGGGTGTCACATAGCAGCCTGGATCGATAAGCAACCTCCTGTGGAGCCTAATAACAGTGGAAGTTTACAGCTGCTCACCTTCGTGAAACTGGGACTCTACAAAGTGGGAGAGAGGAAAGCAGTATGGATAAAGCTACCATATGAATCTGTCTCTCATTTGAATTGTGCCTGTATGCTAAGCCTTGTGCAACTCACAAACCAAAGTTTCCATGTAAGTTTGTAATAACGTGGGTTTCTATTAAACAAACAAAATTTCAAATGCCCCTATCTTAGGTGAGTAGATATTGCTAGTCTTTGCTTTCTCCCTGCAAGAAAAAGAAAAAGTGATGATTGTAATTTGGCTTCTAATTTATTTGAAGAACAAGTCAATTCAGTTAGTGGAAAACAAATGAATATCTCTAAGTTTTCTGAATAGGAGGCAATTTTAGGCATTTTGCTATTTTTCAGAAATTTGAGCTTTTATTTAACATTTTAATTCTAATTCACTTCCAGTCTTCTGTCCTGTTCTTGAGTGACCAAGGAGTAAAATTCCTCTAATGCTTTGTCTTCTGTTATGACAAAAGCAGCTCATGCTTCTACAAAACGCTGGTAAGGAAAAGAAGGACATAGGAATACTATAATTGACCCTGAAGTGAGCAACACTCCATTTCCTTTTAGTCTTTTCTAGGCATCATTGTCGTTGCATTCTCTTTCACTCAGTGACTGAAAATGTTCAACAGGAGAGACAAGTGTCCTGCTCGTTTGGGCCTCACACTGTAGGAAACGGTGACTAAGCGTCATGAAGAAAACACAATGGAGTGACCCGGAAGAGCCAGTCAGGGACATTGGAACTGAGGCCTGAGTGACATCTCCCGCTGGGCAACAATGTGGTATCAGAACACTTCACACAGGCACAAGTGAGAACCAGGGCTCTGGGTGGGCATGAGCTTGATGTGTTCTAGAAAGAGAAAGAAGCTCAAGGGCAGTGAAGGGAAGAGATGTCAGAAGGGAGGGAATGAATCACATAATACCTCACAGGCAAGGAGTGTGGGTTGCATTCTGAGAACAGGGAAAAGTCACTGGAGGGCTTGACGTAGGGAGAAAAGACAGAAACTGGTTTGCTTTTTGAAAAGACCACACTGATTGCTAGGTGAGGATGACCTGTAGGGGGACAAGAGCTGGAGTCAGGAGACCAGTTAGGAGGTTGGTCTGGCTGAACAGACGGAGATCACAGACCAACTGAGGTGGAGCAGGAAGGCCTTGGTAATGCGCTGGGTGTGGGAGGTAAGGAGAAGGGTAGAAGAGAAGAGGACAGCAATCCGAGGGTGACACCCATTATTCCCGTGAGGAACTGGATGCCACTCTTCTGGGAAAGGGAGGCATGAAGAAGAGATTGGGGTGTGATGCGATTATTGAGCACTGTGTGTCAGCCAGGGGTCTACCACGGTATACATATAAATCATGAAGCAGGCACTGTCACAATTATCATCCTCATTTTATGAAGATGAAGAAACTGAGGCACAGAGAGGTAAAGCAACTTGTTCAAGGTCGGACGGCTGTGTGGTAAAGCTTGACTTGACCCCAGGCACTCTAACTCTTAACCAGTGACTATATATAATCTTGCATGAATATTGTCCAAAAACTAGAACCATACCATAGTTACTATTTTATAACTTCTTATGATTTAATTAAGTTGTTTCAACTAAAAAACACTAAGAGTAAAAATAACTAGCTCAAAATGAATTTAGGTTTAGAAAAGGAAACAACAGAATCTCTGAAAAATGAGCAAAAATACTTCAAGATGTCAAATAGTTACAAAAATCTCCCCATTGTTCACCAAAACTAACAATTTAAAAGGTGAGCTAGGTAGGATATTTATTTTCCACCAACTGTCAATTCATTTGAATTACTGGATTACCCAATTTGCTTCTAGTCAAATCATATGCCACCAAAGCCCTTCCCTCTCACCCTGAGGATATTTCTATGTGATAAGTAGCATTCATAGTTTAATAAAAATATCTGATTCCAGCTAACTAATAATAGAAATAAGCACTCAAATTGGAAATGCGATAATCAGCCTTACAAAGACTAATATACACACCTTGGAAACAAAGATGTCAGAAAAAACAATGTTACTAGAAGAGATCCTTTCAAAAGCCAAGAATCTGAATTGAAGTCCAGTATGTACCCAACGGCCCACATGGTAGTCACAGAAAGCATCAGCAGCAGGAAGAGCTGTTAAGAGATTCAGAATTTTGAAGGATTAACTTTACGGATTTTTATCTCCTGAGACTCTAATAATAGTTCAATAGAAGAGCTACTACCTAAATATATTATACAATAACAATTAATACAACAGCAGAATACAGTTTTTTTTTCGAAATTGCTGATTGACAAATTTGAAGTGTGAGAAATTCCAAATCCTGCAAACAATCTTCTAAAAGCCTTACATTTCATAAAATGTGGTTTAAACATGTTTTGTTTTGCTTCCTTCCACTCCAAGAAATGGCAATCTTTTAAGAAAAGTGTTCATGATAGCTGAGATTTAAAAAAAAATAATTTCTTTCAAACAGCATTATATGTAAGAAAGCATAAAGCAAGACAAAAAGACCACACAAAAATCAAAGCACCCAAGACTCAAAGGAGAGAATACAAGAGTTCCAACCTGGGTACCAGATGGGGCCATCCCCTAATAAAGAAGGTTAGAAGGAACAACTGTGCAGAAAAGATGAGTTTCATTTAGGGCATCTGGAATTTTAGATGCCTACTGACTAGGAAACAGCCAGGAGTCAGAAAAGCAGACCAACCATGCAGAAGAAAACTTGGTATTCATTAGTGTACAGGTGGGAAAGTTATGAATGAACAACGTCCCAAGGAGTGTGTACAGGTAGAAAGGGACAGAATTTTGGCCAGCAGAAACTTTTAAGGGGAACAAGCTACACCCAAAAAGGTAAGTAAGAAAGAGTGATCAGTGCGAGCAGAAAGGCAAGATGAGGGCAGAAGAAAGGTTCTAGTAAAGCCAGGGAAGAGAATTTCAAGAAGGGAGTGGTTCTCGCTGTTAAATGTCACATGGAGGCCAAAGACTGAGACACATCCTCAGGATGCTAATAATTCAGGTTTATTCTAGCAAAAATAAAAGAATGAAACACCCACAGACCATCAGTGGGGCTATCTGCATTGAAGCCAGGCGCCACACCTACACACACCTACACAATGCAGTCCCTTAACTGCAATACACATGACCCTGGAAGCAAGCAGGGCTCTTGCAACAGCAAAGGAGGAAAATATATTTGCCCTATCTTCTTCAATTTTTGCTTTTCAAAGCCCTATTCTGAAGATGGATAATTTCCCATGATATCAAACCTTTAGTATGCCTCTAATTCTAATTTGCATAACAAAATGCACAAGTTTAGATTTTTTTCAAAAGGTAAACTTAGAATCTATAAGCAACATAATCTCAGAACACAAATAAGAATTAAAGGTGGATCTCAAAATTTTAATCCCAGATATAACATTCAAAGATAAGCCACACAGTGTACTCATTCAACAAATATTCTAGCGCATACCCTATACTAGGCACTGCTCTAGGCACTTGGAACACAATGAACTTACAATCTTTATTTCATGGAGCTTAAATTCCAGCAGGGGAAGACAGACAAATGTACTAAGTGAATTTTATGGTATATAAAAAGCTGGATCACGCAGGGCCTTGTAAACTATTGTAAGGATTTTGGCTTTCATTCTGGGAGAAAGGGGGAGACATCACAGGACTCTGAGCAGATGAATGATAGCATGTGACTTACATTTTAAGATTCATCTGGCTGCTCTGTTGAGAAGACATCAGAGGGGAGTAGGGGCTGGGAGATGTCAGATAGCTGCAGAAATCCGCATGAAAAAATAATGGTGACTGGACCAAAGTGCCATGGTGAAGTAGTGAGGAGTGTCAGATTCTGGACATACGCCGAGGGCAGAACTAGCCATTATGTTTTTCTGATGGACTGGATACGTGGTATGACAGAGAAAAGGCAAAGATGACTGGGGAGTGGGATGTGCTACCTACTGAGATGGGAAAAGCTGTACACAGAATAGATGGAGACAAGGGAGAGATCAGGAGCTCAGTTTTGGATTTGTTATGCTGACAATGTCTAATGGACAGTGAACTGGATAGATCAAGTAGATAACTGAATATACAAGTCTGGAAAGGAATGAACTACAGATAACTTTGAGAGCTGTCAACATATAGATGGCTTTTAAAGCCATGGAAGCACATGAAATCACCAAGGGAATGACTACATTGAAGAGAAGTCCAAGGACAAAACCCTGGGGCACGCTACCAATAAGGGGTGGGGGGGAAGCAGGGGAGTTGGCAAAGGAGGCTGAGGAGTAACTTCTCTCTCTCTCTCCCTCTGCATACCTAACTGCAAAACAGGTGTAGTATTCATGATGACCCTCTGCATAGAAATCTCATGCCTGTTAATTTAGAATCATTCAGGTAGGGGATTGTATAGCTTAGCAGTACAGTGCATGCCATGCTTAGCATGCATGAGGTCCTGGGCTCAATACTCAGCACCTCCATTAAAAAAAGAAAAGAATCATTCTGAAAGTATAACTACTAATTATTATCAGATAAGATGATGCAATATATCATGCAATTAATTCAATACCCCATTTTAACAATTTGAATTATACTCCCTGTTATGACTTAGATTGTGTTGGGCATTCATGAGAGTAAGTTGAACATCCTGACTTTTTCTATCACTCCGTTCACTTTTAACTTTAGAAGAACACCACCCAGAAGAACTGCCAAATTAAAAAAAGAATAAAATTGGGTTTCATCTCTCGGAATTCAAATGTTTTTTATTTAATGAAGTAACACCATATGCTTGAAGTTTGCAATACTGTGATTTTCAAAAGTCTAGTTCCTCACAATTCTAACAAAACGTTTTGAATGTTACTATCTTCCCTTTGAAAAAAATTTTAATAGGAAAAAGTTCTTTAAGAAAAGTTCCTATTAAATTTCTGTGCAACAAGGTATTTTTCCTTTTGCTTCTCTAAGAATCTAAATCATCTGTGTTTCAGTTCACTCATTAACTACATGTGGAAGTATGCCATGATATTCACAAGGTAACATGTGGCTTTAGAGCCATCTAGCTAAGGACCAACAATAAATTGCCAATGAAAGTGCCAAATTTCCAACTTTGGGTTATGGGATATATGGAAAAGATTTTATCAGGAGATACAATGCAGCACTAGGCCAACTCTCTGGTGCCTTAAAAAACAAAGACAAATGAACAAAACAGTTCTCACAGCCCACAGAATAGGCCCTGTAAGAAAGTACCTCGCATTTCTGCAGCCACCTCCAAAGTCTGAAGTTTTTGTTGGCTCGCATTTTGGCCTCTGTTTTTAGCATGTGAATAATGAGCCGATTTTTGTTTTGCAGAGCCATATCAAGGGGTGTTTCTCCCTAAAAAAAAAAAAAAAAAAAGAGCAATGTTGTGTCAATTTCTGGTGTACAGCATAAGGCTTCAGTCATACATGAACATACATATATTAGTTTTCATATTCTTCGATTATATTTTTGATATAGCACAGGTGATAAACATTTTATTTAAAAAATCACCAGAATCATAGGTTCAATGTATGTATTCCAAGGGCAGCAAACTATTATTGTTTACACCTATCTTGTGGTAACTGAAAATGTATGTATAGCTTATCTTTATGTTAATGTACCAGTCTTCTAACCGTAGATACAATAAACTAAGGGAGATAAAAACCTGGTCATACCTTAACATTTTGGATATCCAGGCTAGAACCAGCTTCTAAGAGTTTATCAACAGCATTAACATTTCCTGCTGCAACTGCCCAGTGGAGTGGAGTGTTTTGGTGTATTTTATCAACGACGTTTAGAGAAGGATTAAACTTTAAAAGAAATCCAGTTGGTTCTGGCCTGTCTCAAAACAATAAAATATCAAGGGGTATTAGAAAAATGAATGATTTGAAGGGTAAATGAAAACAATGACCCTGTCAATGAACCAGTTGGTAAGTATTCTGAAAGCTGAGGAACTTCCCTGTGCAGAGTTCTACTCTAGGTATTAACAGGAAAGGTGCAACCTCCTTGCTCCAAGAGATATCTATTAAATGACAGTCTGCTACATAATGTAATTTTAACATTAATACAGTAGAATAATTGCTTTTGTTTTTCAAACTTTTCCTTTCATGTTGTTCTACTGGTTTTTTTTAAACTATGAATTTAACTTTGGCCTACATTAAATGCTAAGTTATTTATCTAATTAAAAAATTAAATGTATAACATTATATTTGTAAAGATAAACCAAAAGCTAAGTTCACATTCTCTTTCCAGCCAATTATTACATACAGTGGTATAAATACTGCCCTAAAATATTTGTTTATCATTGAAAGTTATGGACTTAAAAGCAGAATTCAATAAAATATTTTTACTTCATCTTTAATACCTTCTCTTCTTTCATGACTACTCAAGAGATTCCTTTAATAAAATGATATACTACTTTACTTATTCTATCCAGATTTGTAAATGTTACACTTAACTTCAGAGTTATCACAAAAGATAACAAAATGCTTTTTGACAAAATTCTACCCCCAACCCCACCACTCCATGAACAAAAAGGAAATTGCATCAGAACTAACTCAGTTCCTAGGAAAGACGTCCTAAGTAAAAGCTGAATCAGAAATTAAGAAAACACTGGAAACGATACTGATAAAGAGCAAACTGTAGTGTGTATTTGAATAAAAGAATATCAGAAGCTGGGTAATATGGTGTTCATTAATCACATGTATGTGAAAAATAAATACACAGAAAAACTTAAATATGTAACTGATATGAACACATCAACAGACTATTTTCATAGATTAGTTACAATTAATATTTTCAGAGCAGTCAACAATGTTAGAGAATCTCAAAATTCACTGTTTTCTGGAAAGCATATTTCTCATCTAGATGTCAAATTATGGGAGCATTTAAACTTGTAGCCATTCTTGAAAAATGTAAACTAAGAACTGGAAATCATGTTAGTAAGTATATGCTATGGAATCTCTACCTGTTCTGCAAAAAAAATTTTTTTTTTTTTTTTTTTTTTGCTGAGTAAAAGTAGATTTATTTAGAGAGCTGTACGGGGGAAGGAGGTGCTGGGTAAAGTAAAGGTAGATACACTCTCCAGAGACAGAGTGTGGGCCATCTCAGAAGGCGTGTGCGAGAGAGCGAGAAGAGAGAGAGAGCGAGCGAGGAGAGAGAGAGAGAGAGAGAGTGAAGAGAGAGAGAGTGAGGAGAGGGAGAGGGAAAGAGAGGAGGGGAGAGAGAGAAGAGAGAAGAGAGGAGAGAGACCCAAAAAATTTTTTCTTATTAGCAGCTTTCAAACTTTTCCCCAAAGCTATCAGAAAAGAGAAAATTTATTTCAATGGTGCTTCTCTAACAACTCCATTAAAAGTCTATATCATAGTCACAAGATAGAAAACCTTATTTTCTTCTTCTTCAGAATGTTGTATCATTTCACATAGACAAAGATACTTAAATTGCTAGAATCAAGGGTCAGAATGAGGCAATTCAATTAAATTCACTTACCCAAGTACTTTGTGAGCTGATAACATGAGAGGTGTCTGCCCATTCAAATCTGTCATATTCACACTCTGTTCAAAAAGAAGAGTCAATCGGCCTAACTGTAAACACAGTTCAATTTCTCCTTCCTCTCTTAGTACAAGTATCATTTTAATGCATTTAACACCACCATTGTGTCTACAAGAAGGGTTCAAATATCATTTGAATAAAAGAAGTGTTCTGCTTCACATCCATAGGGTGAAAAACTGATTGATTCCTACAAAATACTTTTAAAGGGAAAATGTGAATATATGACTTTAAATGTATGTTGTGAATAGGAGAGCTAAGGAAGAGAGAACAATGTTGATAATCACCATCAAAAATAAGAGACAGTAGGCACAACATTGTAAAATGATTATAAATCAATAAAAAATGTTAAAAAAAAAAGATCATGAGCAATGAAAATAAAAAAAATAAAATAAGAGACAGTAGGGACCTTAGAAGTCATCTAGTTTAGACTTTAGCTGACACACTAATTCACACTATCATCTTTTACACAAAGTCATCCAGTCTCTGCTTAAACACTTCCAGTAATAGTGAACTCTCTATCTTCTGTGGCAAACATGAAAAATTCTTTTCTATTTTCCAGAATATAGGGGGAAAAAAGGAAATCATATTTCCGTGAAGGTATGCTTTTAATAAAATAGAACATTTAACAAAATGGGCCCAGATTTGAGGTTTAAAATAATACATCAACCAAGCGGGAAAAAAAATCAATTACTGAATATTCTTATGGGCCTTGGAGGAAGGAGCCCAAAGAGAGGGAAAAAGGATGATGCCTCACACATCTTTCCAAAATGAGATCCAGGAGGTTATAATTATTCTACTCCAACTGGCTAAGTCTAAGAGAAAGTGCTTATTTAAAGAGAACACGATCATTCCAACAGCATTTGTGCAAACATGTTTCCATGCCTTTACAGGCGAGCCTACTGATACATAAACTACTTGCTACCAGAAAGCATATCCCTGGCAAGTATAGTGACAGTGAAACTCCCACTGCCAACAACCTATAATTTAACTTGTGTCATAAGTGGATGCCTCTTAAGGCAAGTCATTTTTCATGGAATTACTTTAGAGAACAATAAGAAGCGCACATTCAAATTGGTCTCCATTTGGACTCAAATAATGAAAGCCAATGACGGGTTAATTGAGTGATCTGACTTCCATTTCTAGATTCAACCAGAAGAAAAATACAGGCTTTGAAGTCACGTTTTTGAAAAACTCTGCAAATTGCTGGGATCATAATGAAAACTATTATAGGCTTACAAGTTTCAGAAACATCTATTACATGTTACTGAACTAAATGACCCATCCTTTTTGCTCCAATGAAGCTGGAAAAGCAGTATTCAATAGCTAGACCTACCGAGGCTAATATTTGAACATTTGGATATCTATAACTTCTACTTTAAAAATCAGGACAGACTACTAGTAATCATTCTGCAAATCCCTCCAGATTTACAATGGCTGGACTACAAGATACGTTTCAAAACACACCTGTCCTTTTGAGATGAGATATGCTATAATGGGCATGTGTTGAAATAATACCGCCAGGTGGATGCTGCTGAATCCCTCTCCATCGATAAGCGTGGGGTCCGCACCATACTGCAGTAATAATATGACCATAGGTAAATGTCCTTGTCTGTAAATAGAGGACAAAAATTATACTGCATTCTGTAGCATGCAAAAAAGAAAAAAAATTCAGGAAGAAATTAATATTCCTAAGACATGAAGGATCCTGATTAGATATAAAAAGTATTTCCTAACAGTACAGAGATTTTTAAAACACTAGAGATTCTCTAAATGTCTTAGATGTTCCAAACTTGGAACTATCTGGACAGTCCTTCTTGAGTGCAGGTAATAAACTTAATAACCTCCCTATCTACCTTAAACCTTACGTTGCTACCATGTGTAAATAATTTTATATAACTAACAGTAAAAACAGAAATTTAAAAACCACTTAGACTTCACTGTTCCTATTTTAAAAACAAAAAGTAAACATGAAGCAGATATACTGAAATACAAAATTCATAGGCTGCAGGTATACTGTGATAATCTTATTCTTAGGAGCTACATATTTTTATTTGAATACGGCTCATTTCTCTGTAAAGCACTGCACTCAGCAGCTTAATGGGAATGAGCTAACCCTAGATTCCTAAAAATTCTTGGTTATGGAGAAAAGATTCAATTCCTTGCCCCCAATGAACAATTATTTACTTTAGTTTCAGGTTCATGTCAGTAACACCCACCACAGAAAGTGGAGTTAAAATGAAAGATAAAGAGGAATACATGTATGTATACGTATGACTGAAACATTATGCCGTTCACCAGAAATTGACACAATATTGTAAACTGACTATGCTTCAATTAAAAAAATGGAAAAAATAAATAAATAAAATGATATAACCATTTTGGAAAAAGAAAGTTTTAAAGTATCAAGACAGGCACTTATTAACCTCAGCTTCAGACAGCCAGTACCTACCAGAGAAAAGAACTAAGTTCACAGTTCCCTGAACTATCACAGCTACCCATATGATCAAATAATAGAGATATTTATTTTTATCATAAAACATAATACACATATTTGAGTTTGAACATCATAGAGGAGCCCTAAATTAAACACAAAAACATCATCTCTGGAAACTCTGTGAAACTGTGATTTTTTTTTTTAAATGAAGGGAAAAAAGAGCGAGCCTTTCAAATGGTCTGTAAATGCAATTTACACTATGGACTACTAGCCATATGTAGCTATTTAAATTCAAATTAGTTAAAATTAAATAAAATTAAAACTTCAATTCCTTAATTGCATTAGCCATACTTCACATTTCACATGTGGGTAGTGGCTACCATATCAGACATCACAGAATAGAACATTACCATCGTCACAGAAAATTCTATTGGAAAGTGCCGGTCTGTAACATTCAGAAAATGAGTTTAAGTCACTTTTGATTTTGAACAGCAATTTCAGTGTTTAAAGAAACCTTTACCTGATGGCCCAGTGAAGAGGAGTTGAATTTAAATCTCCACCCAACTGATCTACCACAGCACCTTTTGAAATATAAAACCTGTTAAAAGCAAACATAAATAAGATTTAAAACTTTAAATTCATACTGAGAAAGAAACATCAGTTGTTCTTAATAATAGACATATTGGAAAACAGAAAATACAGTAATAACCACCCCCCCAAAAAAACACTCAGATTTCTACAGAAGTCCAAAAGATTCACACAATAGCATCAAACAAATCCCGGTGAAATACTCTTCAGCATGTAAGTAATCACTTCTGCTGTCATGGGCATTCCATTATAACTATACACCAAACATAATAACCACTCTCTGCACACGCTAACCACCTCAACACTCCTAAAATGGTTTATATTCAAAAGGCTCCTACCACAGATATTCTACATAACTTGCAAGAAGAAAGGTAAAATGATGTCACTTTTAACAGTTTAAAATTAGAATTACTATGTGGGAATGAATTCCAAAATTAAGTAGCAAAACATTAAGTCAAAATCCTTTCAGAAAAGTTAGACATTTTGAGAGTTTCAGTCTCCATTTGGGGGGCACAGATGGGATTACACTATATAAAGTGAATCTTTAAGGTAAAGAGACATTTTCTTCTGTGGTTTACAGGAATTAGTTTCATGAGTTCAAAGCTGTGCTTCATATATTGTATTACTTAAACAATACACCAGTTTATTTCCACAGAAAAGGAGTCTGCCTGTTAGTATTATGCTTCTAGTTTTCAAAAAATGTTTAATTTCATTGCCTGAAATTTATCTTTCTGAAGGGCCCTTGTGGCTTTATTTTTAATTTTCCTTTTGGGGCCCATGAGAGTCCTGGTCCAGGCGATCTCTAAGGTCCTTTTCAACACTATGATAACTAATTTGCATCGCACAAAGTTTCAAGTATTCATTTACAATAAAGGATTAGAGATGGTTCAACATTCAGACTTGCATTTGAAGAAAATAGACAAATGAAAGAGAGGTCAGAATTATAAATACACAAACAACACACATATATTCCATCTTACTTTACAAGATCCAGTCTGTTGTTAATAGCAGCCCAATGAAGAAGTGACACATTTTCTCTGTCCGGTTGCCTGACATCATATCCTGCTTCTACCAACTCTTTACATCGTTCAAAAATCCCGTATCTCAAGTAAGAGGGGAAAAAAAGGCATAATTGATAATCATCAAAATAATTTCAAATATCAAAATTTCTTCCTTTAAATATATCTTTATCCAATCTTTCAGGCAACATAGAAACACAATAATTAACAAAGATATTCATAAAAAGGATGGATTGTAAAGTCAAACAATAAAAGTAAACCTGACTAATATGATAGTTTATACGTGGAATCTAAAAAAAGGACACAAGTGAACTACCTACTATTTATAACTTAGATGATTAATTTCTTGAATATGTATAAGCACATTTGACTGTCCTTTATGATTGGATTACTGCATTCTGTTGATTCTTATTTTGTGGTTGGCTTTATTCCCTTGATAACTATGAGTTTAAAAAGCTAAAGCTCTAAACTATTCTTAGAAACAATGAACAGTACATTATGTAAATTTTAAAACGGTTTTATCTCTCAAAAAAAAAATAAATCCACTGGTTCTTGAGAAAAAAAAAGTAAACTGGCTACCAACTGATCAGATTAATCCATTTAGAGCTGAACTTAATTTCTTAAATAAACTTTAACAATCACATTTGCCTGCCTTCGATAAATTTCATTTGACCCTCCACAATGCATCAGGAATGCATGGTGCTGATTTCCTGACTACAGTCTTATCCCTGAATCAAACAAAGCCTGTGCAATAACCTCACAAGAAGGAAGAGACTAAAAGCAAACTTGGAATGGGATAAATTCAACAATAAAATATAGACAGGTATAGGTACAGAAAAGGAAGGAATGATTAGCCCTTCCTGAAGGCTGGAACATGATATACAAGCTATGTTTTATAGGCTGAAGGGAAGGCATTTTAGGCAGAGGGAATAGCATGTACAAAAATCAGAGATGCAAAACTGCATGATGTTCACAGAAAAAGAAGCAATTTAACACCGCAGGAGCATGAAGCATAAGAAAGGGAATGGCAAGGGATGAGGTTAGAAGAGGTAGGCAAAGGCTGCATAGGCCTTCTCTGTCATACTATGCAATTTAGACTTTACAGTTCAAGGAGAAGCCGCTGAAAGTTTAAAGAGGAAAGCATTCACACTTTCAGTTCTAAGAAAGATCACATTAAGGGCAGTATGGAAGCTAATTAGAGGAGAGTGAGGCCAAGACTGAGAGACCAGTTTAGAGGCTCTTGCAACAAATACAGGTGAGAAGCAATTGGAGCCTAAAGTAAGAGAGGCAACAGGAATGGAAAAGGAGGGATAGACTTAAGAGGTTATTTAAGAGAGTTATTTAACTGACTATCAGAATGAAAAACAGAAGAGAAATATCTCTTTTTAATGCTATAATAATGGTTAAAACCATTCATTAGCACTAATTCTTCTCAACAGAAACTACTGAGTCCCATCAGACCATTTAGCATTTTCTTCAAAACTTACTTCTATTTAGCGGGACCTGAAAGTTTCAGTACACCCTCAAGTGTCAAAATCAAGCCAAGTGGCACAACTGTCTGTTTCCCACACTGTTAAATAATTGCTGCCTCACCAAAACACGTGTGCACATCTGTCTGTCTGTCTTTATGTCATTTTTTACAAGATAGAGATACCCATTTGACAATGCTAAGTGAAAATAATAAGAGAATGAATTGTTGATAATGATACCTATATTTATATTCTCCATTTTTTAAATGAAATACTCCCTTCACATGAGAAATATAAAAGGAGTATATACTAATTAGGATTTTGGTGGTTTAGAAAACACACAAACACCTATTCTAGCTAGCTCTCTTTTGCCCTTCCCAAATACTACCTAAATATCTTCCCATAACCACTTAAGAAGGTCCAAGATTGGAAGAATGTTTTAGGAAAGACATTTAACGAGTTTTTACTGAGATTTCCCGTGAATATAACCTAATATTTCATATTATCATAAAAGAGCTTTACTAGTAGCAGAGAAACACTTAAATGTTTCCATTCTAGTTAAAGCAAATAATCTATTTACCTTGAGAACACTCTCATCTTCATATAAATATAAAAATATAAACAATATCAAATTATATTCACCTAAAGTAGTGGTTCCCAGGGCCTCTAGATTTCATATAATTTAGTAATTAGAAAATTCAAATAGCTGTCAATTATTTTTTAACCAACATAACACATTAGTCTACAGTAAAGCCAAACAGGTTAACTAATCACCAAACATCTTTTCTTTTGACAGAAATTATATCAAATTAGTGCAGTAACATTAGTTTCTTTCATGCAGATTAGAAGCTCTGATGAGGTTTATATTTAATTATTAAGAAAATGGATTACTAATTAACATAGTCTGACAGACAAAATATTTCAAAATATGTTCAGTGGCAAGAGGTAGGGTAGATATTAATAATCAGTGAGATTCACGAGGGTGAAAACGCTGGAAATGACTTAATGCAAATAGCCACAAATGGAGATCTTAAGGGGGAAACTTTCAAAATACACTTCATTTTCAGCACACGCAGAACAATCCACTATCATTTCAAGTGGTCAGAAAACCTATTTCTATTTTAGTGACTTTCTTCTAGTGCACCCAGCACAACCGGTATAGGGAAAGTACTCCATAAATAAATGTTTAAAATACCCACAACACACGTGTGAGTTGATATTTTTGTATCCCACCTTCATATTTAGATTGTAGTGCATTTTAAAAGACTCAGATTTATGTTTCAAAGTCAGAGTCTAGTTTTAGTGTCATTTAAAGTCATTTATTCACTCAACAAACATTTATTGGGCACCAAATATAGCACAGGAACTGTGCAAAAGTACTGGGGTTACAAAGATGAAAAAGACATGCTTTTGCTAAGAAGCCACTCATGATCTAATGGGAGAGACTAATAGTAAACAACTAAGGTGCAGTGTGTTAAGTGCTCTGGTGTTGGTATGGCAAACATACTATCACTGGGGTATGAGGTAAGGAAGGTGTACATTGGAGTGCCAGAAACTATATACATGTTATTATAATTCAACAGAACCTTGAGATAAAACAAATCATTGGGAAGACTTACTGAGTAGCTTTCACAATGTCACAGTTACTAGAGTCCTCTATGAGAGGAAGAGCGTCTCTTGCTTTAGCAAGTTCTTGGTTTTCACGTGCACAGACTCCGTGTCGGCCAAATCCTGGAGGGTGGGGGCCATGGCTGTGATTCCTGCACTGAAGAGTAAGAGTAATTTGACAAGGCACAGTAAGAGAATTAATGTTACATTCAATTACATCAGGAAGCATTTGCTACTATCAACAATATCTATGTGATTAAATTTTTTTTCAGTCCTAGAGGTATATTCCAGGGAAGGTTTTCATCTTAATTCTGTTCACTAGGATTAGATGCTTAATATTAGAAAATTCCAAATTATATATTTTTTCATAAATGAAGGAGACCCATAAAGGCACCAATGGATCTTGTTACTTGTAGTAGGTGGAGGGTCTTGGCTTTTGACAGTAGGAAGATTGCCAGATCTCTGTTTCAAAGAATTGTGGTGGACACACCCCAAGGATACCATCCCCCTCACCAGTGAATCAAGTTCTTGAATGTGTATAACTGGAGTCCCAGAAGAGGAGAAGGAAATATTTTTAAATATTTGACTAAGCAATGGCCAAAAGTCTTCCACATTCGGTGAAAATTATAAACCCACATCTCCGATAAGCTCAACAAACCCAAGCAGAATAAACCTCATACTTCACACTAAGGTATATCATAATCAAATCACTAAAAACCAGTGATAAAGAGAGCAGCCCAAGGAAAAAGATGTATTATGTTCAAAAAAACAAAGATAAGAATGAACTCAGACTTCTTATCATTAAGTACCAGCCGGAAGACAAAAGCACAACAGTTTTAAAGAGCTGTAAGAAAAAACTGTAAACCTGGAAATACCAGCAAAAATATTCTTCAAAAATTAGGGTGAAATATACACTTCTTCAGACAAACAAAAGCTGAGAAAATTGCCAACAGACTTATGCTACAAGCAATGATAAAGGAAGTTCTTTAGGCTAAAGATAAATAATACCAGATGGAAATATGAATCAATACAAAGGAACAGAGTGCCAGAACTACATGGGAAAGTATCTGTAATTACATGGGTAAACATAACAGACTTTTTCTCATTTTTTAAATGTCTTGGTAATAATAGAGAAACAGAAGTATAGTGCTGTAAGAGATGTTATAATAATATTTGCAGATAGACAGTGATAAAGTATATAATGTTAACCGAAGAGCAACCTCTAACTAAACTGAACAAAGTGGTATAAGTAATCAGCCAACAGCAGAGATAAACTACTTAAAAGACACTCAGTATTTTTTAAAAAGATAGGAAAAGTAGGGGAAAATGAACAAAGAACAGGGAAGAAAAAGAAAAACATACAAGATAATATATTTATACCTAACCATATTGACAATCACATTAAATACAAGTGGTCTAAAGGAAAACAAATGAAAGACAGAGATTGTTAGACTGGCTTTTTAAAAAATGAAACAGAAAACCCCACGCCATCTATAAGAAACCCACTTTAAATATAAAAACATACATAGGTTAAAAGTAAAAAGATATGCCATGCAAAAACACTAAGCATAAGGAAATGTAGTGGCTCTATTAATATAAAACAAAGTAGACATCAACACAAGAAATAGTACCAGAGATGAGGACAGACATTTCGTAATATAAAAGAAGCCAATTCATCAAGACATAACAATCTTAAATGCGTATGCACCGAAAAGGAACTTTAAAATTCATGAAGCAAAAACTGATAGAACTGAAAAGAAAAATAGTAAGATTCACAATTATAGCTGGATATTTCAAGACTTCCTTCAGTAACTGATTGAACAAGTAAACAGAAAACCATACAGCATAGAGAAAAGAAGAGAAATCAGAAAAGGATAGAAAAGATTTAACACTAACCACCAATTTGATCCAATTGATGTTTTCATAAAACACCATTCAACAATACAATATGTATTTGTTTCAAGTGTATATGAAATACTCACCAATACAGATAATATACTGGGCCATAAAACAAGTCTCAACACGCTTAAATGGGCTGAATTCATACAGAGCACGTTCTCTGACCACAATGGAATTAAATTAAAAATCAATTAACCAAAGGCTATGTGGAAAATTCTCAAATATTTGGAAACTAAACAACACATTTCTAAATAACCTATAGGTCATAGAAGAAAACAAAGAAAAATCAGAAAATATTTTTAACTGAAAGAAAATGAAAACTTATCAAAATGTGTAGGATGCAGTCTAAGCATTGTTGAATTAATTTTTAGCTTTAAATGACTACAATAGAAAAAAAGAAAAATCTAAAATAAGTGATCTAAGTTTTTGCCTTAAGAATCTAGAGAAAAAAAATTAAATCCAAAGCAGACAGAATGAAGGATACAGGAGAAATCCATGAAATATTAAAAAAAATGCAGAAAAATCACTGAGAGCAAAAGCTGGTTGTTTGGAAAGAGTAAAGTCAGTAAAAATTGATAAATTTCTAGTCAGACTGATCAAGAAAAAAGATGTCAATGACAAACAGCAGGTTTTAAAAAGGCAACATCTTTACAAGATTCTGCAAACACTTAAAGGGTAATAAAGGACTTCTGTGAACATCTTTATGCCAATAAATTCAACAACCTACGTGAAATGCATAAAATACCTTGAAAGACAGTTATCAAAATGGACTTAAAAAGAAATGGAGTAGCACTCTATTAAAGAAATTGAGTTCATAATTTTAAAACTTTCCATTAAAACAAAACAAAACAACTCCAGATCCACACAACTTTTAACTGACAAACTCTATTAAAATACTCAAGGAAGAAATAATACCAGCTCGTTCAGAAGACAGAGGGGCTGCTTCCCGGCTCATTTTAGGAGGCAGCATTATCCTGATACTAAAACTAACAGACGTAACTCTAAAAACTGAAACAAAGCAAGGATGCCCACTATCACCACTTCCAATCAACACTGTACTGAAGCCCTACATAGAATAATAAAGAAAAATGCATATAGACTAGAAAAGAGGCAAATCCACCTTCATTTGCAGACAACATGATCACATACACAGAAAATCCTAAGGAATCTTTCAAAAATTTACAACAGCATCAAAAATATAAAATGCTTAACATTTTATACTATATTCGGTATTTTTAGCTGCATTCAAGGGGGAGGCTCACATCAAATATCTAGCAAATCATTCTGAGAGATCAAAACTGGCTTATTATTTTATAATCCCATCTTGTTCTTTACCATAAAGTTGTTACCCAGCTTTCATCCACCTTATTCATCAGACCTGTCTCTGAATAACTTATCATTGTTTAAAAAAAATTCTCAAAGGAAAAATACATATTAAGAATAGAAAATTGAAGATATTTGAAATAATGTATCTACACCAATTCTCCAGGAATTCCAAAAAAGATTTAAGAAATGATAGTTTCATAGAAATAAGTCTACAACCCCTCAGTGGGTTACACTGAAGGGGCAAATACTAATTTTTTTCTAAGTTACCTTACAATTAAATTGACTTTGTGGTAATCTGTGAATTTCAACACATGTATAGACTCATGTAACCACTACCACGATCAAGATACAGAACAGTTCCAACTCCTCCGAAAACTTCCTTGGGATATTCCTTTTCAGTCATGCCCTCCCCTTATCTCAACTCCTGGTAACTGCTGATAATGCTCTCCATCACTACTTTTTTCTTTCCGAGAAAGCTACATAACGGAATTAGACAAAATATAATCTTCCACAACTAGCTTCTTTCACTCAGCATAATGCTTCTGAGACTCATCCAAGTTGCTGCATGTTATTAATAGTTAACTCTTCCTCGCTATATAGTATTCCATAATATGAATGTATCACAGTTTATCCATTCAAACAACCCATGTGGGGTTTTTTTCCAGCTTTTGGCAATTGTAAATGGAGCTGCTATAAACATTCACTTTGTGTGAACATATGTTTCCGCTTCTCTAAGAGTGAGACTGTTTGGCCATCTGGTAAGTAGATGTTAAATTTATAAGAAATTGCCAAACTATCTTCCAAAGTGGCTGTACCACTTTGCATTACCACTAGTAACATATGACAGTTCCAATTGCTCTGTATCCTCTCTGGCACTTGATATGGTCAGTGTAATAGATGTGTTGTAGTATCTCATCATGGTCTCAATTTGCATATCCCTAATGGCTATCGGGGCTGAGTATTTTTTCAACTGCTTGTCATCTGTAGATCTTCTTTGGTGAATTGGCTTTATACCCACTTTTTAATTGGGTTGTTTTCTTACTGTTAAGTTTTGAGTTCCTTATGTCATATATGCTAGACATAAATCCTTTGTCAGATACGTTGTTTGTAAATAATTTCTCCCAGTCTGTAGCTTATCTTCCCACTTCTGAAGTCTCTTCCATAGAGCAAAATTTTTTTAATTTTGATGAAGTATAATGTATCAATTTTTTTCTTTTATGGACCATGCTTTGGGTGTCACTCCTAAGAACAGCTGTCACGGGATCACAACTCCTCTGTTCAGAGAGGACGTTCTCCTCCCTCAGAGTTTCAGGCGCTTGTGCTGCCAGAAGACCCCTTTCCTGCTCCACTAACCTAAACTAGAGGGCTTCTCCAGAAGTGCTCTCTGTCTGCAGGGCTCAAGTCCAGGGAGGGGAAAGGAGGGGGGAGTCCCAAATGGAAAAAAAAAGGTAAATTAGCTCCTGGTTCAGTGGTTTTTTTCAGTTCTGGTCCTCTCCCCCACTCTACCTGCTGCAACTTACATTTGAGAATCTTTATATAGACACTACCTGTATTCCACCCAGTGCATTCAGTGGGATCGACAGGGTGGAGTGTGCTTTACTCCAGTTTACTCATAGCCAGAACCACAAATGCTTTTTTTTTGAATAGGTTAGTTCTGATTAATTTGATAAATTCAACCTCACTACATGACATTCTTATTTTACACACACACACACTCACAAACAGCTAAAAATATACATATAGGTAGTCAGATTAAAATATAAGAATATTACTTTAGGATTCTTTCCACCATATCACAGTAACTACAATTACATCCAACTGGAAGGCAGGGGTCAAGGAAAGAGGTGAACCATACTAACAATTTCTAGAGTGTCAATAAATAGCAGATGTTGCTAAAATTGAGCAATCAGTCTACTTTTTATATAAA